TTTCTTTAGGGGGAATAGGGGATACATGGAATTAAAAATCTCTTGTAGAGATTATTCCAATTTTATATCTTGGCCGTGTCCAAGTAAAAATTTGGTGCCTTGTGCACAGGTATTTAATTCTAACGAAAAAATTTAGTTTCGTTTAGAATAACGCACTGTCATCCGCGATTTGGCTCTTATTGCCTATCTTATATATGTTAAATTTATATTTTTATTATTATCGTTCACAATTATAAACGAGCGTCAAATGTAGCAGTAGAAACAAAAGATTTTTTTTTTGGCATATTATATGTCATATGTCAGGTATATCAAAATTTATCTCGCATGAATATGCGACAAGCTTCACGTATCACGGATCCGCGAGAAATTTATCTCGCAAGATAAATTGTGTTCCTATCATCCCGATCTCGAAACATATCGTAGAGAAATGTAAGGGTATTCAAATGTGACGAAACACAGGGAACTCGCGCGCAAGATGCGTACATGCAACGGGTTTCCCCTCATTATCCCCTCATCCTCTCAGAGCGGATATGCAACGGAACTCGCAACACAATGAAAATAACAATTATTCTGATATCAAGCATCGATAATAATTTCATCATTTTTTTCTTATTAAATAATTTCATCATATTTATTCTTACTGACTTCGATGAAATCCGATTTGCTCGTATCGAAATATTCAACGCGTATATATAAATTGCAGGAAATTGCGTTATCTGTTTAGAATTTTATCCGATATAGAATTGTCAAAGACGCCGCGTTTGGAAGGACAACCCTGTATATACGCACACTTGTAGTACGCACGTATATAATATATATACACACATACAAACACACACAGTCGCGCCTACTCCATGTGTATACATACACATATATACGTCTAAGACTTACCGAGGCGCAGCTCCTCTCGTAGCTCCGAGAATCTCCTCCGGCTGTTACAGCACGGGCATTCTCTCTACCGGGATCCTGCTGACGCGCGTCACGCGAGGACGAAGGCTCTCCGTGTGTCATCGGCGTTCACCGTCGCATAGCGACGCCGCCCGCGTACTACTCCGCCGTGCGGGACACATCCGGGATACGTGCGCGCACACACAGCTACACAAATGTACACATACAAATATAATATAATATATATATATTTATATATATATATACATATATTTACACACGCGGGATGAGAGACGGTCGTCGTCCTCTGAGCGCGTCTCGCTGCTACGTTGACGTGCAGCGCGTTACGCGAAACGAGAAATATCACGCCGCGCACGTACGAACGTGTAGTACACCGGGTACCAATATCGACGTCAGCGCGGTCCGCATCGGACTGACGAGCGCGAGTCGCGCGCGTACGAAGACTCCCGAGGACAACGACTTCCCCCACCACTCGCGCGCGTTCGACCCAGCTGTGCACTCCCTCCCCCCTCTTTTGAGCTGTCACTCTCTCTCTCTCTCTCTCTCTTTCTCTCCGATATACGTAACGCCGCGAGATCTATCTCGCCGTCTGCTATTCTGCGCTCGCGTCCTCTCTCTCTCTCTTATTAATTATTACATATGTTAACATATTTATTATTGTAAATATCAGTGAGTAAAGATTTTGATTACAATTTTATCACGTATACTATACAATTACGCGCTGGAATTGATTTGCGTATATAATTAATATAAAAAATAAAAATTTAATTTAAAAAAAGTTGAAAAAGAAGAAACAAATAAAATTTCAACGACGCTCCTTTCCCTGGAAAAAAAACCTGTAAACGTCCTTACGTGCTGGTATATTTATTTGATATATTAGTGAAGAGAGAAAAAGAGAGGGAATAAATGTTCCTTTCTCCTTCTCGCGCCGAATCGCTGATCCTCCCTCCAGAAACGGAGCGGGCTTATTCAACCCCTCGCACCCCTTCCATCCATTCCATCTCGCGGCCGAACACGTCGCCCGCGCGCGCGTTTATCCTGTCTCCTGTTCAGCCTCCTCTGTGCGAGAGAAGGAAGATTGGAGCAGCCGGCACAGACAGGAGAGGACGAGATGCGCGAGCGCGTCGTCGTCCTTTCGAACTTTCTCCATCTCGCTCGCGTCCTTTAACGCTGATATTCCGCTTCGCTTTGCTTCCTCCTTCGATTTCTCTCTCTCCCTCTCCTACGTCTACCCTCATAGATCTACATCTATTTCGTGCAGTTCCCGCGTCTGTCGCGCTATATATTTTCGTATCTGTCGTTCGGTATATTGCTTTTACCCTCGTACACATGGGCGTCCGCAGAGAAGGGCATTTGCCCTTTCCTTCCCCATTAGGAATCAGTAAAAAAATTAAGCATTTACTCTCTTCGTGAATAAACATTGGAATTTATCTGCAATTTTATTTAATATAAAAGTATTAAAATAAAATAATAAAATATTACAAGAAAAAATAATTAAAAAATTGAATTTAAACAATTAAGGAAGAATCATAATAATAGGAAACAAAAATATAATTCCTGCGCACCCCCATGCTCGTGTATATATATATTATATATTCGAGGTAAACGAGCTTTTCCCTGTATCCTATATCGCGAAGGGCTATCAATGAAACAAAAGAAACGCGCAAAAGGCGACGAAAGGTGACAGAGAAACCAGAAGGGTGGCGGCCTGGAATCCCACCCTCTCGTCCTCGACGGGAAACCATTACCCCGGGAATGTTGCGCTCTGGATTAGTTTGATTATCGACATGCGGCGGCGCCGAAGCCGCGAGCAATTTAATTATGGAAACGGTATGCTGCAAAGGACGAGCCCGCGATATCCAATTAGTTTCCACGGGCTGCTGCGAGTTCGTATTCGTTCTTAACGACTGCTAACACCCGGCAGGAACGCTAACTGTTCGTAACTATCGAACGAGGAAGCGTTCACATTAACTGCCGCGATAATCGCGTTCACCCCGTTTGTTTACAGGGCGATTTGCAATTACGTTTTTTTGTCTCCAGACCGACATATTCCATCGTATTGGTCGTGAGATAAGAGATTCAATTTGCAGACGTATTTCATCATTTTGAATAGAAGAGGGATACAATTAAGGGAGGACACCCAGAAGCATTAAAAAATAGCTAATACATATATTCGTAAATTTTGTCCAGAAAGTATTAGGATTATTAAAATGGGGTTTTTATCAGTCTATTTATATGTATATTTAGTGATATTTAAGATAAAATTTTTATTGAAAAATGTGGCAGATATTGCTGCTGATGGGAGACAGGTGCTGTTATGTAATTTATTTAATTTATTTGAAACAATAACTCAATTGATTCTTAAAATATACTAATAAATCTAGTCTTTGTCGTAGGATTTTTTAAACGCCTTAGTTTTTTTACAATCAAAAACGATAAATGAAAATAATTCGTTCTTATATTCATAATATACGTGTCATTTTACAAATATTGCGAAAATTTAAAAAATTCGCAATATATACATATTCCTATTTTTCAATAAAAATTTTACCTTCGATTATTAAATATACATATAATAGATTGGTGAAAAAACTCATTTTGACAATCATAATATACTTTCTGAAAAAAATGCATAAATATTGGGCTATTTTTTGTCAATGTTAACAACATAATAATGTAAATATAGAGTTCGAATAAAAAATCAAAGCAACATTAATAAAAACGAAAAAGACAACTCGCAAACTTCATATTCACGAATATTTGAGATATTATTTGAGAATTAGCGAGATAATATACATCGGTATTAAATCCTGATAGATCATCAAGTTTAAACGTCATTCTGATTTGCAGAATCTTACGTATAATAATAATCTTTCGATATATTTTTGCACGGCCGGAATCAAATTGCACCATTAATTCGCAATCGTGCGAGCAAAGTCGATATTTCCCGGTTCTCGTGTTTCCTCTTGACGTCACGAAGTAAAAGGCTAAACGAGAATCAGTCGAGTCATTCCCGGAGATGCGAAAAAAATTGATTCGTCTCTGGGGTGAATCCTCGGATCGAAGAGAGAGAGAGAGAGAGAGAGAAAGAGAGCGAGATTGATGGCGAGGTCTTTTTAACGAGAAAAGTGAGGAGACGAACATTAATCAATAGTGTACGTATACGCGCACATTCAAAATAAATTCTAATCCTCTACCGCGTCGTCCGGAAGGGACGATTACCGGATCATTGTTCCGTTCGGCCATTCTTTTCGGGATGCTGCGGGCGGCTTTTTTCGCCGCCCGATAGCGCCGTCCGATCGCATTAGTCGCAATTAGCGCGGAATTTATTCCTCGAAAAGTTGCCGAACGGCTAATGCCGCTTGATTAATCGCTCTTTTTCTACAGAACTTTCTCAGCGAATCGTTACGGAAAATATTCGCTACCAAATGAAGAAACGATTAACTATTATATGTGCTATTATCTGTGATCTTATATTGAGGAATAAAATGAAAATTTTATTCGTTCCTCAAAATCCAATTATTGGAAAAATAATAATATCATTTCTGCAATTATTTTCATCAATGTAATTACATATATTAAAAAAGTTATATTTATTTATAATAGATAATTGCAATTATTTTTAATCCTCAATATATTTTTATTGTTGAATTAATAAAAATTAAAATTCTTCGACAATTGTGATTTATCGTTTGAAATATTTCGTGTGTGATTGGATCAACAGATTTTCCGAAAATTTCATTGAGTTACGATGCCAAAATAGATGTGCATACATCGAACAAGATAATCGTGTATGTGCGGTTAAACGACATTGTATAACATTTAATTCTAGAATATGTATATAAGAGAGCCTTTGAGGGAGATACTACATTCCACTTACTTTTCTGATACCTTTGATGTCGTCTTGGGTCGAAAATATTTCTCTTTTTCGCAACAATTCTTGAAAAACCTTGAAATTGTTCTCTTTCAACTGTATTCGATTGTGAGATTATTTCGCTCTGATATTTGAGTGTTTTGCCAACAGAGAAAAAATGATGCATTTTAAGTTAGTGGATTGGCACGATTGATTTTTAGTACACAATCGCGGCAGATGATGTCGCTCTTTACCAGCGAAAATAGAACAAGCGGGGTAGGGTTATGTCTCGCTCTGTCAAACACCTGTTGTGTCAAAATTGTGAAGAAACATTCCGATATTCGAAAAAGAACGCGATCTTCTTATAATCAATCATGGTAATTTTAATATAAATTTTCATCAATAAATAATTTAATTAATAAATCTATTTATAAAATACTATAATTTGAAACTACTTGATCTACTTTCATATTTTATACATATAAATTGTCTTTGATATAATATATAGAGTTGCTTTTAGTTTATGAATATATTTAATTTATTTACTTTTCATATATTCACTCAATATTAATAATTATTATATTACAGGCACGTTACTTTAGAGAAGAAGATATAGATGGTATGTTGAGAAGAATGTTATCATTGCATATTTTTTGTACACCTTGCATAAATTGAATATTAATATTAATTTTTTTTATAGAGTTTCGGGAATGTTTCTACTTGTTTGCTCGAAATGGCCAGATTCGTACACTTGATGAGCTCACTATAATCATGAGATCTTTAGGGCTAAGCCCAACTATTGCAGAGTTAAACAAATATATGAAGGATAAAGGTAAGTGTTTTTGTACTAATTATCTTTCTTTGCAAATAAAATAAAATCTACCTCAATTCCAGGTGGAAAAATGTCTTTTGCTGATTTCTTGGAAGTCATGCATCTTCAGACTCGTGCAGAGGATCTACCGACAGAAGTGATTAAAGCTTTTCAAGCTGCGGATATCTCTCATAATGGCACCATTCCGGCAAGGCAATTGGCACACATGCTGGTTCACTGGGGAGAACAATTGAGTAGCAAAGAAGGTACATAAATAATTGATTCAATTTTGTTTTTACTATTATTACTAATACTGTTATTGCTTCACATACCATTTTCTGTTACAGTGGAGCAAATCTTCCGCGAGGCTAATGTATCTCTAAATGGTTATGTTAAATATGAAGACTTTGTGAAAATAGCTTGTGCACCTGTACCTGATTATTATTGAATTGTTAAAAGACTCATATTTATACATATATATACATATATTCTATTATACATTTTATATTTTTGCTATGATGAAAGATGACAATGCATAAAAAGGAGAAAAATATCTTATACTTAATAAAATTAATTTTTTTCATACTTTTGTGAAAAATTGTATAACTTAAAAATGTGGTTGTGGGACTTCCATAGTTATTGGATATAATGAATAAAAGCTTATTTCATTATTTGGTCTTTTCATGTTTTAATTATACTTTCAACCCTGTTCAAGTATTTCTTAATTTTTAACGATACATTTATCGTACATTTAGATACCGAGTTTTTTATCTATAAGGAACATTTATTCTAGATCTAAATATTAACATATATTTTTAATATAACGTATTTTTATGAACTTATGACATCGACAAATTCATGTATTTGTGACAAATTCGATGCATATATTTATAGCTCTCTTCAGCTACTTTGAAATTATTTGTTCAATATCAAAGAAAAAACAAGAAAATTAATTACATTTTTGACAAATAAATTAGAAAGCAAGCATATTTTTTCCGAAAAAAGAGATAAGTAAATTTTAATGCCATAGCAATAATGCTTTATTTTATTCTTTAAATTCATTCCCGGTTAAGAGATAAATATTTCATTTTTAAACGTATATATAATTTGTACAAAATTTATGAATTAAAAGAAACCGATAAAAATTGAAATAAAGTTTGACTCGAAATAATCTTTCATCTAAAAATTCTAACGAAATAATAAGAAATTAAACAACTGAATTGATTTTTATACCACAGAGTAATTTTCCATCAACTTGGAGTATAATGAACATTAAAGTTTCTATCAAATTTTCAAAAATCACTCATTCGTAGACACACCACATATATATATATGTATCTCATCATAAAACGAGAAAAACATCCATTTATTCCTTATGTATCAACACGAATAGATCTACTGCAAATTATTTAATCTTTCTTATAAAAAAAAAAAAAAAAAAATTATTCTTTGAGTCCAATGATGAAGAAGACATTTTGGCATCATTTAGTCAATTGATATAATCAAATCGATAATTCAACGATTACCCGTCTTTTGATACATCCTGAGTCGGAGGCGAGCCGCATAAAATCACCGCCGTGCTAACGATTGTCGTTAGAAAGAAAACGCACAATAGCGCACGATCACTGACCAGAGCGACTTGTTTCCAATCTAATTCTGTCCTTTCTCGACGATCTTGCTCTACTAGGCGCCGCTCGTTCCTTTCAATGGTCGCGTGCACTCTTCCCAGGACCCGGGACCATTGTGCCTCAAGGCCGCCCTCCTTTCCGAGATCTGCGCGATCATTCGATATATAATTTGTAAAGCATTGATCGCGCGATGCGAATCAGCTGATTAATGAAATTAATCAAAGGCTAGACGATAATTAATCAGACTATACAATATTTCATGAAAGAAATATGTTCTCAGCCAACAATGCAACAAAAATAGATTAGAGTTTGATTGAGAATACATTATAGATACATATTCATATTGAATACATATTAGAATAAACATCTTTTTCTAATCACGCGAAAATTAAATATTTTTATAAAATATGTATCATCTTGTGCAAAATATTTGTCATTTCTCATATTACAACAAATTTGAAAATTTAATTATATACGAGAGTTAAAGAAACCAATTAGCAAAATGTAAAATGTAAAGCATTGATCGCGCGACACGAATCAGCTGATTAATGAATATAAGTTAGACTAAATCGAAGACTAGACGATAATTGATCAATCTATAATGTCTCATGTGTAATATCTCATAAAAAGAATATGTTTTCAGCCAATAATACAACAAAAATAGATAAGATTTTGAGTGCATGAAAATACATATGTAATCTTTTTGTAATCACGCAAAAATAAAATATTTTTAGAAAAATATCTAATCTTGTGTAAAAATTGTAATTTTTTATATTACAATATATTTGAAAAAAATCGAAAAATTCGTATAACATTACGATTTGAAAGTAGAATGTAGCTTTTTTAAAAGAATGGCAGAAAAATTTATAATATAAAAATACAAAATAAGAATAAATTAAAACTAAATTAATTAAATTATGCTGATAATAATAATACGTATAATATCAAATAAATTTATTATATGGAGGGTTAAATCAAATAGCGTGTTCTTGTCGTTAAACCATGATGACAAGAAGATAGAAATATTCCGCAACTGTAATCAATTATTTATTACATAAAATAGACTCACCTAGACTAGGACTGCTGCTATTACGATCATCCCTTCTCGATACATATTTAGGAGATATGTGCTGCTCTGGCAGTTCCGATTTGCAGTGCAGTGGACAATTGTTCTTTCTTCTCGAGAATTGTTCCGCCGGTTCCTGCTGATATAACAAATCTCTGTGATTTCAGATTGATGATCGCGCCGTAACTTTTCTATAGAATCTAGCAATAGCGGGGACGCGTTTATAGAACCTATATCAACATGAAACTTTCTCTCTGCGAAGTATAACATGTTTTTTTTCACATATTCTCTTCATCTTTTTATAAATTTTTTTATATTTTTCTATATAGAGATAGTTATATTTTTTTCTTTACTTTATCCTTCTATTTTCTTTACGTAACATTAAAGATATCTTCTTTACTTTTTTTTGTAATTTATGTATCTTCAAACAATATCTGCTTTTTCTTTAATTCTGAAATTCTACTTAGGCCATTAATTGGCCGGAAGCTGCGCGACTCTCAGAATTATCATTTAATCGATCGCTGAGAAACGCGCAGCGGAATATTGACTCAATTTTATTATATTCAAATGATTGAGAAACAGACTGCAATTGAAAAAATGCCCCGCGTGTTACAAAGAACAATATCCATGTGCATTACGTTATCCGTTTTACCGATCTATTCTCCTCTTGGAAATTCAGAAATACTATCCTGGCTAATTTGTCTAAGACCAACGATCTCACGATACTCGGCACTCGTATACCCCGTACACCACGATGATGCAAATTCAATGTCACGACCGCCAGACCGGATGCAAACGACACCAGACAAATGCTGACACCGTAATAAAGACCTGAAACCATATGGAGGAAGCTAAAAATATGTATATCAATCAAATAAATATTAATTTATTTTTTTAAGTAAATTTTAAAAATATGCAAATATTTTTTTAAATAAAATATTTTCACTTTTTAAGAATATAAAATAGTGTATTTATATATATATTAAAATACTATTGTACATATATTATTCAAAGTATGGTATATACGTAAAGATGATCTTTATATAAAAATATAATAATATGACAAGAATGCAGATGTATACGATAAAAGATATATCGAACGAAATGAGAACGATATGATAATGTTTTTATCTTTTAGATATAAAAATATTCTCTGAAATTTGAATATCATATTTTTTTATAATTCCCCAAAGATTTTATCTATTATGGTCTCTCTGAATGCAAATCATGGTACCTGTAAGCATTAAACAAAAATCTTTTCTCCGTTTAATTAATGAAATATTGAACTGCTTTTATTTGATTTTCTCGTTATGTTTTGAAGACATTTCTTTTACCTTTGAAGGTAACATTAGCAGAAATAAGACGGTGCTCGTTCTTGTACACGGTTAACCGCGTCTCAAGAAAATCCCAGGTGCATTTTCCCGCGAGTTTTTTAATGAGAAACGGGTAACGAGCAGCTATGACGCTCGAACGGAAATTGCAATCATATCCTGCGTTATATAAAATTTCCGAAAAAATTGGGTGACACTTTTATATCTTAAAGTTTGAAAAAATATATACATGTTTCTCACTAGCGATATAAATTTAAAATAGTGTCACTAAACAGAATGATATTTGCTTGTAAATAAGATTGTATAATAAATCTCTCGTAAAAGAGATAGGGGAAAAAGAAAAAGAGAGAGAAAATATTCTAAAAATATCTTTAAAGTATGAAAATGTGTATCTCGGCTTAATATTCGAATGAAAGATTACGGTGGAAAACAGGTTTTTGACTCAATACTCACTTATTAACGGCGTCTTCTCCGTAGGCGGCAAAGTTTCGCGAATGGTCATCAAGAAAACCGTCATGGAGAGAAGGGCCGAGATACCGAGGGTGACTTTCTCTCCTGACTCGGAGGGCACGTAGAACACCAACAGGGCTGAAAAGCAAACAAAGGAGACGTTCGCAAAAGTTTTCCTCTTGTCGCGGAATATTGAATCCGAGATATTCCGCGAAAATTTCGAGCCGAAGTCTCGTGACAAACTTGAGTGTAGTAGTAATCAACAGTGAAATGACATTAGAACGGCAAAAAAAGGCGAGAAAAGACGAGAACGAAGACAATCTCGGAATCGCCTTTCTTTCGAGACTTCGGTGAATTTAAATTTTTTCAGTTTTCTATGCCTTTATTGTGCACGTACATCTATTATGCTTAAATTCTTTATTAATTTATATTATTGATTTTATGTGCTTTTTTCGATAAAATTTTCCGCAATTTCCATTTAAATTTTAATCTTGCAGGAAATATTCATGCAAAGAAAATAAATGATATTGTTTACTTATTATTATTGTCATGTAGAGAAATTTATACACAAACCAGGGAAATAACGCAGTGATTTTTCCGATAATGAAATTCACAATTGTCATTTTAAACTTCTGGACAATAACTATCCATTTTGTCATCGGAAAACTATTGTTGTCCCATTTACCCGACAGTCTCGATTGCTCCACTCGGTCTTATATTCCGTTAGTTTAATATTTACATTTTTATCTTTTTATATCCTTTATGTCTTTTTATTTATGTATTTTTAATTTTCCTAATATATATATATTTTTTTTATTATTTTTATAAAGAACAGTTTCTTCAGATTTTGATCAGTAATTACTAAATCTACAAACTTGATTCGGATATCGAACGAATCCTTGGCAAATTTCTTTCATTATCGATAAACGGCAGCAGCAATGCAATGAAATGCTTCGGTTCATACCATCGTTTCCTTAAAAGGTGACTTAATTCGTTTTCCTTCGTACAAATCTTAATGCGATTAAATCCAGTGGCCGATATTATTTTTCGAGCTATCATTGGCGGACAGAACTAATGCTTTTTTGCGTTGATCATTACTTTCACGCCTTTTGTTTCTACGAAAAATACTACATTATCAATAATATTTTATTAATACCATACAAAATTATTACATTCAACTTGTTGCTTTTATAAATTTTAAATCTATCTTTTATTAAAATATTTGTAAATCATATATGTAATAATGACAAAATAATTAATCTAAAATATCAAGATTAATATGAGATTAAGCATAAATATTTGCTACATAATAAAAAATACATCTCTCGTAATATTATTTGATTGCTCTTCGCAGCGAATATTAATTTTATAAAAATTTCAAAAATTGTTTATAACGACGAATTTGTTCAAGATCACTGATCTCTAAAAAGAGAATTAAATACTAGTTTAGTTACATTAATATAACATTTACATAATAGACTTGGATTTTCACTCCGTCAATTATCAAATTTTGATTGAAGAGGAGCCGAATAAAGAGATACAAAATTAATTTCTAACTATATTAATTAGAAAATTGAAATAATACTACAAAAGATGTATAATAAAAACTGCATAGCACAAATATTTTAACGGCTTAACTGGCCATTCTTATTTTTTCTAAGAAACAGAGAAAAAAATATATATATAAAAATATATATAAATATATACACTTTTTTCTCTTGTTTTCAAAAATATTTAATATTAACATTTATGACGAGCAATTATAGCTCTCTCGATATTATCACAAAAAGTAAAATTTCTTCTTTGTCAAGAAATTTTTTTCCATAATATTATTCTCAATACTCTTATATATAATAATGTAATTTTATCAAAATTTCGAAGTTTTCAAATATCCATATAAAAACATCGATCGTGCACACTTTGCTTTCTTATCATCCCATAAATCTTAACACATAATTTGATCGCTCGCATAGTTATTAATAAAAACGCCGTTTTTCCTAAGATTACGAAAACTATTATGCAAATTTATTGGATCCGCGTCTTACGCGTTCTCGTAGAGGCAATCTTAATTTTCTTATGCAAGCAAGTCGTAGAGTGCGGAAAGATCGCAAGGGAAAATCTTTATCTAATCTTGTATATGACTTCTCATGCGCGGGCTTCTTCGTAGTCTTGAGGCTTATTTATGAAAACTTCATAATAAGCTAACGATAAGAACTGTTATTTCTCTTTTTAATAAACGACCCGAGCGATGTTACAGATTTGCGTTACCGGGTCATCGTTAATTCGCATTCGTGAAAATTTATTTAAAAAATTAAATTAGAATTTTTTCATATATCTTCTTTTCAAAAAATATTTAAAAACAGCGTATTCGTGTTCTATTTTATAATCAAGGAATACGCTTTTTAAAATAAAATCGCAGCGAAAAAAATTGTAATGCGAACAGACATTGAAATGATGATTATTATTTTAATATACGAGCGACAAATGATCTTAATACTTGATTTCGCTGAAGACGTTCCTCAACGTTTTAGTCGTGTATGCACATTTATGTAGTCCACTTACCGACGCCGTTGATTAGTATGCAGGGCAGAATCAGGTTGAAGACATAGAACATCGGACGTCGTCGTAAGCGAATCTCGTAAGTGATGTCGGGATACGGTTCTTGACAGCAGGAGTAGTACTCGACGTTTTTACGGGCGGTGAAATCCAGAAGATGGAACTCGCCGTTTGCTTGATAATTACTCACGTCCCCCTTCTCACTCTGCCTCTCCAGCTCGAGCTGATGTCCGCGAAATTTTCACGATATTAATTATGCTTGATCGCGCAGATCCGCCGTCGTTCTCCGTAAAAGCTCCGCGAATTTTCGAATAATAAAAAGTCAACGTCGCGCCGTTCGTTAAACACGAAGGCTAGTTTATCGATTAAAAGTTAAATTGGCAATTGACAAGCCGAATATCTTTCTACTACAATCGAGATCTTTTTGTGTAACAGCTCCATTATCGAGAACTGTTTATACAATACATTTTTATTAATATTGATATAAATCCAGATCTATATTATTTTATTTTGCGGTAACATTTCTATATCAATATATGAAAGAGACTGAAGGATAAATCGAATTTTAAATTAAAATGGAACATTACCTTTCTCTCTTGATTTAGATTTAATGCAATTACCTTTGTTTATTTTTTCTTTAAGTTTATAATTTCCTTTTTAATGTTTTTCGTAGCGAAAATTATGATTTGAAAAAAATACTCGTACTAATTTATTTCAAAAATAAATAATTGATATTAGAAACATTGTATTGCAAGAAATGATTAATGCGCAAAAAGGATTCTCTAGAACAATTTAAGTATTTTAAATCGCGATAACGTTCTCGACCTTTATGCGACGAAGAAAAACGTACCGACGTTACGCAAAGTGTATTCAATGCGGAGAGATAGAAAATGGGAAAACTCTGTGAAAGATAGGCAGAGAGTTCGGCGCGGAAGTGAACGGAACGGCTCTCGTATTGAATTCTTCTCGCGATGCTGGGATTAAGCTCTTCGATCTGCCCGAACCATTTTCACGACTTGGCGGGCCCGCGTTTGCGATTCCACAGCTGTGTTAAGCGTCCCCGAACTTTCAAAGCCGAAGCTCTTCGCTTCACGAACAATAATTTCTTTTTTCTTTTATTTACGCATCGTACATATTGCTGTTACATCCTGCATTATAGTTCTTTTATCTGTATATCTTTGTAATACCAAAAAAATTACTTGCTATTTTAAAACATAGAGACATATAGAATTGTCCACGATATATATTTTCAACAATATATTTAGGAAAGTTTTAAATTTCAAATATAATATTTAAATATTTATATCTCTAATTTCTTTATTTTAAATGCTCCGATTTTTCCTATTTTACATAAATTATATTTTCGTACTTCAATCTTTGAATAACCAATACGATCTTTGATTTTTATCACAGAATATACCGTGATTTTTTAAATAAAAGTGAATGTAATATCACGAAGAATTATGGCTGACTAAACGGTGAATTTAATTTGATTTAAAAAAAATCTACAAGATGAACAGTTGCACTAGTCGATAATTACTGGCAAGAAAAATTTTACGTCGCAGTTTTTTAAATACTTTCAAAGTTCTATAATTATAAAAATCGATGAAAAATGTGACTAAATAAAAAATATAATTAAGTTTGTCATCTATAATTCAAGAAAAATACTTTTATTTAAGATGTATCCGAAAACGATATCTCTCTAAATTTAATAATGATAATGAAGACGCATTTATGCACCGATGCAAATTTTTCATTTACATCATTGAATAATTTGTCTCAACGGAATATTAGAAACTCCGGATTTTTAAAAAAGAAATTCGTTAGGGAGCGCAGTGACTAAAAGCAGATATTCAATTATGTAAATGTGAAACTTTAACAATTTGCATTCGCGCGGATGAAAATCCAGATGTGCAACGTGAAAAGTATAGAATGTGGAATATGAATGTGATGTATGAAACTTACTTGATATCCGTCGTAGGTCCAAGAGGCCCATTTCAGAGCGCATCGTTGTTCATCAAAGGGAAAGAATTCCACGTTTATGTCGCAACTGCTGCGGAAAATACCGTGGCTTAACCAGACAACTTCGCCTGTATGACTAACGATCACGTTTGTATTGATGACCGCTGAACTATATTGTGGATCAGCACTGTAACATTAAAAATGCAACGAAATATAAATTACTTTGTTTTATTTCTTACTCTTTTTTCTTGATTTTTATATTTAATCAACTGTAGAAAATATATCTTTTTAAAATTACTGAAACTTTGAATTATCTTTTCAATTGGAAATCAGCTTTAACCCTTATTTTTTCTGTCATGTAAAGTATGCTATGCAAAGTATTCCATAAGGGAATCGAGAAAAGTTTGAAAAGGATAGCAGAATTACATAGAGATCTCAAGAGAACACAAATCATTGGCTCCAGTTTGAATATATTTTTTTAAATCTTTTAGAGCCACAATATATTATGAATACATATATAAACTTAGTGAATGCTATAAGATATAGAATATATAACAACAACAGCAAAATATAGGGGTGTACCCCTATGTATTTATAAAATTTATATATAAAATATATGTTAACACATGTCTAAACTTACTCTTGTTAAAATATATTTTTGAATATCAGTTTTTTAAGTTCACTCTATATTTATGCGAAATAATTGCTCACTTGTTGTATAAAATTGTGTCAGGTCGCCAAACACGATTATAAGGAACACGGATTACTTGAATTCCAGCAAATTCCGAGGCATTCCATTTCAAATGATGGTCGGTCCAAACTTGTGTAACCCAACAATTGGTTGTGAGTATCTGGTTCTTTTCATCCTGTAATAAAGTCACAGCATAAATCGCAACTTATAAACAAACGTAAATAAATTATTTATATAAAGTGAATGCTATAAAAAGATATAAAATATATAACAACAACAGCAAAATATAGAGATGTATCCCTATGTATTTATAAAATTTATTTCGATTATTTATATAAAAACTAGATTTTTATTTATTTAATTTTATATAAATTCAAATCTAAAATTTTTTTCAGAAATTGCATTTTTCATTAAATATTGAAGACAAATAAGAAATTCGATACTGGCAGTGATTATCTTTTGAAATGTCAATTATTTTAAAACCACAATATTCCTCTCGACTAATTGTAAGTCTCAATTATTTTAATTAAAACTCTTCCTCTGACATTTATTAATATATATGTAAAAATCCTAAAAATATAAAAACGTTAAAAATGTATTTCCATTGAGACTTTTAAAATTTGTATTTTTTCCGAAATATCTATTTGTCATTGAGAAGACAAACCGTAGAGTAAATAATACAATTTAAAATGTGTGTAACAAGAAGAGACACGCAAAGTACAAAAGGAAATAGAATTTTGTAGCTAACTAAATATTACCAATAATAATATATATATATATATATATATATATATATAATCATAAAATTTATAATATTAACTTTAAAATATAAAAAAATATTGTATATAAAATATCAATATATTAAATATTAAAATGTGATATAAACTATTACCGATCCATTGTATTATTACTAATAGAAAAGTTACAAAATTAATTGCAAGTAATTTACCATAAAATATTTAATTTGTGACGCCTCGAAGAATTACTGTTACTGAAGGAAAACGGTTGGAATTGATCTGTTTGATTAATTGGAACTCGTATATTTCAGGAAAACGAATTGTCGACATGTACGGTCAGCAAACGCGACCGATGATATATCTTTTTTTCTATTATATAGAAAAAAAATCAACAATCCTTTATAAAATCCGAATCAATTACACAGTTCACATTACATAGTAATTCTATTTTTGCAATTATTTTAATTCAACGTATTTATTTCAGATTCATAAAAAAATAATATAAAATTTAGAAATATTATAAACATTTTATCAAATAAGTTATTGTATACATACAGTTAGCAAATAAAAGAATAATAATAATAAATAATAATAATATTAATAATAATAAATTCAGAAAATTTCTTAAATATACGTATAACAACTGAGAATAAATAAAAATTTAACGTATAAGACGGGCAACAAGAGCCAAATCGCGGATGACAATGCGTTATCCTAACGAAACTAAATAATTTTTCGTTAGAATTAAATACCGGTGCACAAGGCACCAAATTTTTACTTGGACACGGCCAAGATTTTAAATATGAAATAATCTCATATTTTGAGATTTAATTTCAATACCCCTTTTAACCCCCCTACGGAAAATAAATAAATGAATGCAAGAGAAAAATATAGATCCGAAAATCGCTGAATCGGGAATCGAACCCGAGACCTTTCGCTTGCCGGGCGACTGCTCTTCCAGCTGAGCTATTCAGATCCTTTCGATTCTATACTTTTCTCTGTTATATATATTAATGTTGGTAAACAAACGCATTTTTTTTAAGCCAGCGTGTATCAAATATAAGAGTTTTAACAAGGCTCTGTAATATAAATATAAATTTAACGTATAAGACGGGCAACAAGAGCCAAATCGCGGATGACAATGCGTTATCCTAACGAAACTAAATAATTTTTCGTTAGAATTAAATACCGGTGCACAAGGCACCAAATTTTTACTTGGACACGGCCAAGATTTTAAATATGAAATAATCTCATATTTTGAGATTTAATTTCAATACCCCTTTTAACCCCCCTACGGAAAATAAATAAATGAATGCAAGAGAAAAATATAGATCCGAAAATCGCTGAATCGGGAATCGAACCCGAGACCTTTCGCTTGCCGGGCGACTGCTCTTCCAGCTGAGCTATTCAGATCCTTTCGATTCTATACTTTTCTCTGTTATATATATTAATGTTGGTAAACAAACGCATTTTTTTAAGCCAGCGTGTATCAAATATAAGAGTTTTAACAAGGCTCTGTAATATAAATATAAATTTAACGTATAAGACGGGCAACAAGAGCCAAATCGCGGATGACAATGCGTTATCCTAACGAAACTAAATAATTTTTCGTTAGAATTAAATACCGGTGCACAAGGCACCAAATTTTAACTTGGACACGGCCAAGATTTTAAATATGAAATAATCTCATATTTTGAGATTTAATTTCAATACCCCTTTTAACCCCCCTACGGAAAATAAATAAATGAATGCAAGAGAAAAATATAGATCCGAAAATCGCTGAATCGGGAATCGAACCCGAGACCTTTCGCTTGCCGGGCGACTGCTCTTCCAGCTGAGCTATTCAGATCCTTTCGATTCTATACTTTTCTCTGTTATATATATTAATGTTGGTAAACAAACGCATTTTTTTTAAGCCAGCGTGTATCAAATATAAGAGTTTTAACAAGGCTCTGTAATATAAATATAAATTTAACGTATAAGACGGGCAACAAGAGCCAAATCGCGGATGACAATGCGTTATCCTAACGAAACTAAATAATTTTTCGTTAGAATTAAATACCGGTGCACAAGGCACCAAATTTTTACTTGGACACGGCCAAGATTTTAAATATGAAATAATCTCATATTTTGAGATTTAATTTCAATACCCCTTTTAACCCCCCTACGGAAAATAAATAAATGAATGCAAGAGAAAAATATAGATCCGAAAATCGCTGAATCGGGAATCGAACCCGAGACCTTTCGCTTGCCGGGCGACTGCTCTTCCAGCTGAGCTATTCAGATCCTTTCGATTCTATACTTTTCTCTGTTATATATATTAATGTTGGTAAACAAACGCATTTTTTAAGCCAGCGTGTATCAAATATAAGAGTTTTAACAAGGCTCTGTAATATAAATATAAATTTAACGTATAAGACGGGCAACAAGAGCCAAATCGCGGATGACAATGCGTTATCCTAACGAAACTAAATAATTTTTCGTTAGAATTAAATACCGGTGCACAAGGCACCAAATTTTTACTTGGACACGGCCAAGATTTTAAATATGAAATAATCTCATATTTTGAGATTTAATTTCAATACCCCTTTTAACCCCCCTACGGAAAATAAATAAATGAATGCAAGAGAAAAATATAGATCCGAAAATCGCTGAATCGGGAATCGACCCGAGACCTTTCGCTTGCCGGGCGACTGCTCTTCCAGCTGAGCTATTCAGATCCTTTCGATTCTATACTTTTCTCTGTTATATATATTAATGTTGGTAAACAAACGCATTTTTTAAGCCAGCGTGTATCAAATATAAGAGTTTTAACAAGGCTCTGTAATATAAATATAAATTTAACGTATAAGACGGGCAACAAGAGCCAAATCGCGGATGACAATGCGTTATCCTAACGAAACTAAATAATTTTTCGTTAGAATTAAATACCGGTGCACAAGGCACCAAATTTTTACTTGGACACGGCCAAGATTTTAAATATGAAATAATCTCATATTTTGAGATTTAATTTCAATACCCCTTTTAACCCCCCTACGGAAAATAAATAAATGAATGCAAGAGAAAAATATAGATCCGAAAATCGCTGAATCGGGAATCGAACCCGAGACCTTTCGCTTGCCGGGCGACTGCTCTTCCAGCTGAGCTATTCAGATCCTTTCGATTCTATACTTTTCTCTGTTATATATATTAATGTTGGTAAACAAACGCATTTTTTAAGCCAGCGTGTATCAAATATAAGAGTTTTAACAAGGCTCTGTAATATAAATATAAATTTAACGTATAAGACGGGCAACAAGAGCCAAATCGCGGATGACAATGCGTTATCCTAACGAAACTAAATAATTTTTCGTTAGAATTAAATACCGGTGCACAAGGCACCAAATTTTAACTTGGACACGGCCAAGATTTTAAATATGAAATAATCTCATATTTTGAGATTTAATTTCAATACCCCTTTTAACCCCCCTACGGAAAATAAATAAATGAATGCAAGAGAAAAATATAGATCCGAAAATCGCTGAATCGGGAATCGAACCCGAGACCTTTCGCTTGCCGGGCGACTGCTCTTCCAGCTGAGCTATTCAGATCCTTTCGATTCTATACTTTTCTCTGTTATATATATTAATGTTGGTAAACAAACGCATTTTTTAAGCCAGCGTGTATCAAATATAAGAGTTTTAACAAGGCTCTGTAATATAAATATAAATTTAACGTATAAGACGGGCAACAAGAGCCAAATCGCGGATGACAATGCGTTATCCTAACGAAACTAAATAATTTTTCGTTAGAATTAAATACCGGTGCACAAGGCACCAAATTTTTACTTGGACACGGCCAAGATTTTAAATATGAAATAATCTCATATTTTGAGATTTAATTTCAATACCCCTTTAACCCCCCTACGGAAAATAAATAAATGAATGCAAGAGAAAAATATAGATCCGAAAATCGCTGAATCGGGAATCGAACCCGAGACCTTTCGCTTGCCGGGCGACTGCTCTTCCAGCTGAGCTATTCAGATCCTTTCGATTCTATACTTTTCTCTGTTATATATATTAATGTTGGTAAACAAACGCATTTTTTAAGCCAGCGTGTATCAAATATAAGAGTTTTAACAAGGCTCTGTAATATAAATATAAATTTAACGTATAAGACGGGCAACAAGAGCCAAATCGCGGATGACAATGCGTTATCCTAACGAAACTAAATAATTTTTCGTTAGAATTAAATACCGGTGCACAAGGCACCAAATTTTTACTTGGACACGGCCAAGATTTTAAATATGAAATAATCTCATATTTTGAGATTTAATTTCAATACCCCTTTTAACCCCCCTACGGAAAATAAATAAATGAATGCAAGAGAAAAATATAGATCCGAAAATCGCTGAATCGGGAATCGAACCCGAGACCTTTCGCTTGCCGGGCGACTGCTC